ATCAGTTAAGGGTAAAGATGAGTGTGGATTGGCCAAGGATGTCTAAAAACAAGATAATACCTTCATTTTCATTTTGCCAGGGTTAAAAAAAAAACCTGTGTCCTGAAAACTCACAACTTAAGCTGAAAGCCGCAATGAATAATGTATTAACTAAATTGGGGCCTTAAAGTGACTAAAGAACCTCTTGCCGATGTTGTTTAGTTTTGCACTTCATTTTTGGCATCAGTAAAGTAACAAAAGCTATTTTTATTATCCATTAAACACTTGGTAATATCATTGCTAATGTGTAATTATATTCAGTTTCAAAGTCTAACACTGTTTTGAATTATTTTGCATCAGAGCTGCTGCAAAACCTTGCAAGTCAGGCAACAAATAAATGAACTTAAATTTTAAAAATACTAGTGCAATGATCAAAACTCAGTTATACAATTTCCATGTGTTGGGAATACCATACACTATCTCTACAGTTGGTTTTCTTTGCCATAGAATGCCTCAATGTGCTAAAATCATTCAGGTGTCAAGCTTTGCAAGTTGGTTGTACTTGTCTCTGAGTTGGAATACCATGGGTTCAAGTCTAACTCCAGGGATTTGAGTATGTAATCTAAGTTAAGACTTTAGTGCATTACTGGGGGAGTAAGTACTGCAATGTTGGAAATTCTTTTTGTGATGAAAATTTAAAGTCCTACCTTTTCCTTCAAGTGGATATAAAAGAGTCCATATTACATAAATGATATATATTTGAGGAAGAACAAAGGCATCCTGTTGCATTGGTCAAAATTTTTCCATTGTCAACATCATTTAAGGGCTGTTGTGGTGCAGTGGTAGTGTCCCTATCTTTGAACCAGGAGGCCTGGATTCAAGTCGCACCTGCTCCACAGGTGTGTAGCAACTTCTCTGAACAGGTTGATTAGCAAATATAAATTAACATCATTAAAATATTATCTGGTTGTTGTTATTGCTGTTCATGGGAACTTGTGAGCAAATTGGCTGCTCCAAATTTGCATTGCAGAAGGCTTTCAACAAAGCTACACATAAGAGATGAGTATATAAAATTAAAGTGCATAGGATTGGTGACAGTATGTTGAGTTGGATAGAAACTGGTTGGCAGACAGGAAACGAAGAGTTGGAATAAACATGTCTTTTTGCTGGATGGCAGCAGTGACTAGTGTGGTACTTCAGGTATCAGTATTAGGACTGAAGCTATTCACATATACACTTAGTTCTCTCCTCTAAACCAAAATTGCAGATGACACAAAGTTGGGTGGGAGGGTGAGTGGTGAGGAGGATGCAGAGTTGCTTTGGTATGATTTGGACAAGCTGAGTGAGTGGGCAGATGCATGGCAAATGCAATATAATGTGAATGTGAGGTTTTCTATTTTGGGAGCAAGTACAGAAAGGTCGATTATTATCCAGCTATAAATTGAGAGAGGGGAATATGCAGAAAGACCTGGGTGTTCACGTACATAAGTCACTGAGGGTAAGCAAGCAGTGCAGCTGGGGATCAAGAAGGTAAATGGTATGTGGGTCTTCACAGTGAGCGAATTTGAGAGCATGGATTGCTGCAATTAACCAGGGCTTTGGTGAGACTACACCTGGAACATTGTGTGCAGTTCGATGTTCTTATTGGAAGAAGTAGATTCTTGATAAAAGACAGAGTGCAGTGAAGGATTGCCAGTGATGTAAGAGGACAGGTTGAATTGGTTAGGATTATATTTGCTAGAGTTCAGAAGGATGGGGAGGGAATCTTGGAGAAAGCTATAAAATTGAATGGGACGAGAGAGGGTAGATGCAGGAAATATAGTCCTAATGATGGGGGATGTCCAGAACCAGGGGTCACATTCTAAGGATACAAGATAAACCATTTTGGACTGAAATGAGGGGAAATCTCTTCACCCAGAGAGTGGTGAGCCTGTGGAATTCACAACCACAGATAGCAATCGAGGACAAAACATTGTGGAATTTCAAGAGGAGGTGGATATTGCACTTGAGACGAAGGAGATGAAAGGATATGCAGGGAAAGCAGGAACAGGTTTGAGTTTAATGAATAGCAGTTCAGTCTCGAAGGGCCATTCAGCCTAGTCCTGCTTCTATTTTCTACGTTTCTGTGATACTTCAAAAAGTATTTTTTTTTAGTTGTAAAGCACTTCTGGACATCCTGAGATAATTAAAGGTGCTGTGTAAATGCAAGTTCTTCCACAGTTTCAGTCTCTTATTCTTGATGTATTGCATTTTAAGTTATCTCTGATACTTTTAGTTTCCGGTTTATATTAAAATAAAGCCCTGAAAATAATAAACTGAAAGAATAAAATGCAGTATTTTGGACAGTTTATTAATGATTTAACATCAAAATAAATCTGATTCAGCATACATTCTTTAAATGCTTTGAGGATTTTTCAGTTTTGTTTTTATTGTACATGAAGCTCAGGGTATTGGTAGTGCAGTATGCTGTGCCAAACATATTTAGGATGAGGGTTCCCCACTAAACTTCTCAAAATAGGAAGAGAGATAGAAGTTGGTGTTGAGTGGTGCAGTAAAATGTTCAAATATTATCGGCCATTGGTATAGTACCCACTAGCTGGGCAATTCCATTGATTCCAGTGCAGCCTGATTTTCACTGTTGGGTAAGAAAAAATATCTACCTTGGTGACTATGCAATCTTACTAATGTCATTGTGCGAGAACCAGGCCTTTCTCTACATATTAATGCTCTTCATAAATCCTATTGGTTGACTGTAGCATGACATTGATGGGGAGCTACAGACAGATCTTCAGCTCAGTATTTTAATCCAAAGATATATGTGTACCATGAGTAGGTTTCAAAAATTTGCTTTATGCTTTATGGCATCACCATCTCACGTACAATTAACATCTTAAATGTTTCTGGTGTAAATTTCAACAACATTCATTTGTTTGGCATTTCGCCACTCTGAAGTTTGTCACATGATCTTCCATCAATTAAGCATTCATTCTCATGACAAAGGGGTATATCAGCCAATCATCAGGATCTCCTTTGTTCCTGTTCTTAAGTTGACTGTTTTAGAATCATCGTTGTGTTTTGAAATTTTACAACTTTTGCAATTGGTGTAACTGTTCCGACATTAGCCAAGGTAAACAGGCTTTTTAATTAAGTTCGCCATTTAAAATGAACTTCCAATCCAAAAGTACATTGATCTTGTTTTCTTTTTTTTAAATAGCATTTAGACCTAAAACCTGACTGGTTGAAGTCTATAAGAAGTTACAGCCTTTATCAAGTTGACTATTGGAAATATTGTAATGTTTGTATCAGGCACTGTTGGGACAACTAACACTATGTACTAAGCAAATGATTCATAGGCGTTGATTTTACCTTTGCTTCCATCTGTGAATACCACTTGAAATTAAGTGGAAACTCACCCACTCCTTTTCCCTCCTAATCTAATTGCTTGCAATTTAAACTTCAGGTAGAAAGGGTCAGCCATCCATATCAGTCTTCAATGATTTAAAAATTGGTGATGTCCATGTGCAGGAGAAACAGAGAAGGTATAATAAGAACAGAGTATTTGCCTCTTATCACTGACACTTGGTGATCATGCTACTCTAGGTTTCTCAGTTATTATCTTGTATCATTTGCAATAATCACATTTCTCATTTTTGATTCAGATCCCATTCAAATTTTTGTACCTACTCTACTTGTATTTTAAAATTATAATGCTAATTTTACATTTAAGTGTGCTAACAAGCTTATAACTATTAACATTGACATGACTTATCTGTGTTCCAATGCCTTTTCTGTCTTATTCAACTACTTCATTCTATAGCAATCTCTTTATGACTTTTTAATACTTTAATCAAGGTAGCATCAGCTTTGCTTTGCTGAATATTTGTGCCGGAATGGTAAGAGCATATTCATTTCTGTGCTTTTCTACCTGTTAAAATTCTTAAATGTGATTGAATGACATCCCTATTGTTTGGCCCCTGGAGATCCCCATGGTGCCTGCTTTTGAACGTTGGCAAAGGAGAAATCCAAACCAGAAGGATCACCTAATCTTTGCAGGCTGCTTTCTTTGAGGTCTGCGGTGAGTGCTGCGAAATTGGGCCATGTAATTTATGGTACAGAAACAGACAATTAAGCCCAACTAGTCTATGCTTCAACAAACAAAAACAGAGAAACTCAGCAGGTCTGACAGGATATGTAGAGAGAAAACAGTTAACGTTTTGAGTCCAGTGACCCCTCTTCAGAACAGTTTGTTTTAGATCTCCAGCATCCAGTGTCCGCATGTTTTAGTCTATGCATCACGCAGTCATAATGTCACCTTGCTTCCTTTAACCCTATTAATATAACCTTCTATCTTTTCTTCCTCATGTAGTTATCTAGCTTGCCCTTGCACATATCTATTTGCCTCAACTATATGTGGTAATGTGTTCTAACCACTCTTTTTGTCAAGTTTTTCTTTTGAAATCCCAACTTCCATTAAAGGCATGTATTGCTTCGACTCCTCAGAAACATTATATGTATGTCAACCATGTCAGATCCTTTTATCATTCTAGATACATGGTTTATGCAAGCCTTCTCTTTGGTAGAGAACAGAAGCCCTAGCCTTTAGAATTTCTTGATTGTTATAACCTCTCAGTTTCGATTTCACCATGTAAATCTTTGTTACATATCATCTTTGATGCTTCCATATCCTACATGGAGACCAGTACTGTGATAACACACTTTAATTGTAGTTTATGAAAGACTTTAATTTGCAACATGTCTATACTTTAAAACCTACCTTTGTATTGAGTTACATAAAGAACTTGCATTTATATAGTGCTGTTTATTCTCTCGGGTTACCCCTCAGAGCTCTTCAACCAGTGAACTACTTTAGAAGTGTTTAAAATGAGGATTCACAAATAGCAACAAGGGTCATGACCAGATGTCACCCTCAACCCACAGGTGTCTATTCAGATGATTTGCACTAGTTCGTGATAATTGTTGTGGACTATTAATGGATGTTTATTTTCTGGTTATATTTCCAGGTACATACCAAGGCCAATTTACAGGAGGGATGCGCCATGGATATGGAGTGCGCCAAAGCGTTCCCTATGGTATGGCCACCATGATCCGCTCGCCACTGAGGACCTCGCTCACCTCCCTTCGTAGTGAGCACAGTAATGGAACCGTGCTGCAACTCGAGCCACCGGCTGACTCTCTGACTTTGGCCACCCCCTCTGCTGCTGCTGCTGTCTCGGCCTCTGCCTCTGCCTCCACCATTGGGCCGAGCCGTGGTGGCTTCGCCCTGAGCCTCCAGAGTGCTGGTGATGCTGAGCAAAAACCTAAGAAGAAGGGTCTGTTCCGGCGGGGTTCACTGCTTGGCAAGCTGAGGAAGAGCGAGTCCAAGAGCTCTCTGTCCAGTCAGAGGAGCAAACTCAGCTTTCTCAGGAGTGATGCCGGCCTCAGCTCAGCTGCCAGTGATGCCAACTCGACTGTCAGCCTGGGTGAAAGTGGTGATGACTTCCCGCCTGTTGAGTCTGACATTGATGCCACCACGACTGAGAGCTACATGGGCGAGTGGAAGAATGACAAGCGCTCGGGATATGGGGTCAGTGAGAGGTCAAGTGGCCTCAAGTACGAGGGTGAGTGGCACGACAACCTAAGGCATGGCTATGGCTGCACCACCTTCCCAGACGGCCATAAAGAAGAAGGCAAATACAAGAACAATGTGCTGGTCAAGGGCAAGAAGAAGCACCTGATACCATTGAGGACCAACAAGCTGAGAGAGAAGGTGGAAAGGAGCATGGAGGGGGCGCAAAGGGCAGCAGCTATTGCACGGCAAAAGTCAGAGATTGCCTTGTCCAGGTAAGCAGGTCCAAAACATCTAGAATTTAGGTATTTATCTTGAACTTGTGGCACAAAATGGGTGGTATTGACTTAGGTGCTCATTATAAGTACTGCCGAACAATTCAGAAATAAAAACAGAAAGTACTGGCATACCTCAGCTGGTCTGACAGCATCCGTGGAGATAAAACAGAGTTAAGATTTTGAGTCCAGTATGACTCTTCTTCAGAACTTTGATAATTCAGTCTCATTACCTACATATACAGGGTGGGTGATCCAATATTATCTGTTTTATGCTACTGGCCAAGAGGAGTTTCAACCCCCTATTGCTAAGATTCTGACATTGGGGAGGGAGAGTTGGATTTAGTGAACATTGACATAAGTAAGGGTGAGTCCAGAATGCTACAGAATGCAACTGAAATAAATGACACTTGACACGGCTAGCAGTGGTGATGCCAAGATTTTGGAATGGTAAGTGGTCATAACTTTATCACTGAGGGATTTTCAAACATCATAATTTAGATTGGGTGGATGGGTGGGGTGGTGGCGAGGTGCTTGCAATAGGAATTTTAGCATGAATTGAAATTTCTGTTCCATTTCAATAAAATTCCCAGTTCAACTAAATCTTCCGATCAAGCAGACCATTTAAAAAGACTTTTCTGAGTGCACAGTTCACAGTTTAAGTGATTGAAATTTTTCAAGAATGGGTTAAGCCAGTACATTTGTTTCAGTTCCTTTGTTGAATGTATCACAACACAGAATAGCAGTATACAGTAATAGCTGAAGGTTAGGTGTTATTTAACTATGAATGCATTGATTATCGCGGGAATGCTGTTTAATACTTTTTTTTTTATGGAAACAATTCCCCCTTTCGTTTACTTGAAGAAAATATGTTCAGAAATTTCAAAGATGACAGCAGCTGAGGCTTTCAGCTGGGAATGCATATTCATAAAATTGGCCCTCGTAAGTGATGCTTGGTTGGTATCTTTTCTCTAATATGTATAAATCTTTTAAAGATTTAATAGTATTTTGTGAGAACTGTGTTATAATTTTATAGCAGCTACCATGGTTTGTTAGTAAAAATTACATAGACACTTGCAATTACCAAATTAAGGGAAGCACATTTATCTACAGACATTTAGAGATGAAATGGCAAGAATTGGAATGAAGTGTCTGCAGGAATTGTTCATTTAATGAACAATATTGACAAGAGAAACAAAACTGTTTGAATAGATGAATTAGTCATACATTTCCTTGGTTACTCTTCACAATAGGTTACCCTTGAATGATTTAAAATACACGTAAATGCATTTGAAAAATCACTAGAGAAAATTGAACAGTTAATGCAACAAGCAGAATGCCCAAGAAACTCAGCAGGTCTGGCAACATCTGTAGAGAAAGAAAAACAGAGTTGATGTTTCATGTCTGGTTATGACTCTTCTTCAGTTCTGAAGAGGAGTCATACAGACTCAAAACGTTAACTCTGTTTCTGTCTCTACAGATTCTGCCAGATGCTAAATTTCTCCAGCATTTGCTGCAAATGTATAAGCCTTGTCTTTCACACATGATAGAGGATGGGGATATTTGTGAAGACACCCCATCTCTCCACAGATGCTGCCAGACCCGTTGAGTTTCTCCAGCATTCTGTGTTTGTTTCAGATTTCTAGCATCTGCAGAATTTTCTTTTATGTATAATTAGTGCATGTTCTCTGTGTCACTATCAATTATACAGGAAACGTTTTAATTCCAGCCAATTAGTGCCAGATGTAATGAGACTTAAATTATCCGTCTTTTCTCCCTGTGGTCAATTTAATAGAATTCCCTTGCTTAAATTAAATCAGGATCCAATCGTGTCATTGGGACTCTGTTGCAATTTTAAATGCTGGTGAGCAGATGCACCGTTCTATAAAACCTGGGGTTATACCAAGTGGACAACTTGGCAGGTCTATTTTAGATTCATCTTCTTGGGACCTGGGAGAGTTAAGAGTGCTTCTCCGGTCTATTTGAAGATATTTGGGATGCTTGTAAACTGTGGAAATCTCAGCACCTCTCAACTTCCCTGACTGCTAGACTGGTGGTCTTTGAGACCAAATGTTGATAGGTCAGTCTGCCAAGCTGTTTCTGTTAGTTGAATATTATTGAGGATCAGCGTTCCAAATCGGCTTTTGGCTGAGAATTAAAATTCCCTTTCACATTGTAAAACCTGATTTGACAATTGTATGTACCCTCTGCTTAATTTCACCTGTCAGAATCCAAATTATTTATTTGCACATTTCAAACTGAATTTCTTAGTTTTTAGTCAGTTTCAATACTTCTACAGATCATAAATTGATATGTGAAGTGGAAAGTGTGTAGTGCATATTTTCTTGACACCAAGTTATTGTCCAGACGAAGGGGCAGCACTCCAAAAGCTTGGGATCTCGAATAAACCTGTTGGACTATAACCTGGTGTTGTGTGACTTCTGACCTTGTCCATCCCAGTCTAACGCCAGCACCTCCACATCATTGCATGCTTTCTCTGACACGAGGTCCTACTCATTCTTTTACCTGGTCTCCTGGAAAGGTGGTGTTAAGAATTCTTTGAAATGTCACATTTAATTTTTTAGTGAAATAAGCTGAAGAAGAACTGATTACAATTTATTCAATTAGCTGTGGTTTCACATTTACTTTATTTGTCAATTTTGCACCTGTAAAATAATTAAGATTTATTAAGATCCATACTTACTGGAATAAGTGGAACAAAGCTGATAATTCTAAGAAATATAAATTTCAGGCATTTTTAAACATTGACATCAATGCTACAGTTGTCAAAAGACAGTAAAAAAAATCCTTTCATAGGATGTAAGAATCACTGACAAGGCCAGCATTTGTTGTCCATCACTAATTGCCTCTGAACTCAGTGGCTTGCTAGTCTATTTCTGACTGCAGTTAAAAATCAGTCCAGGTTAATTTAGATCTGGGGTCACATGTAGGTCAAACCTGGTAAGGAAGGTATATTCTCTTCCTAAAGCAAAATACTGATAGTCTCAATAACCATGACCATGAAACTAGTTTCAGTTCCAGATTTTAGTAATTGAATATAAATTCCATGGTGGGATTTGAAACCATATCCCAGAGCTTTTCAAAGTGGAAGATACCAACAACATATCAGAACTTCAAGAGAGTCAGGCGGCAGAGGTGAGTGTAGTGGCTATCACTAAGGAGAAGGTGCTAGGTAAGCTGAAAAGTCTGAAGGTGGATAAATCATCCAGACCAGATGGACCATATCCCAGATTTCTGAAGGAGATAGTTGAGGAAATTATAGAAGCATTGGTGGTGACCTTCCAAGAATTTAGGGAGGGTCGCAGAGGACTGGAAAATGGCCAATGGAACTGGCTAATGTTTAAGAAGGGAGGGAGGCAGAAGATAGGAAACTATAGGCCGGTTAGCCTGACCTCCAGTCATTGGTGAGATTTTAGAGTCCATAATTAAGGATGAGATAGCAGAAGTTTTGGAAATACATGGTGAAGTAGGGAAACGTTAGCACAGCTTTGTTAAGGGGGGGTCATGCCTGATAGATCTGTTAGAATTTTTGAGGAGGTAATAAGCAAGTTAGATAAAGGAGATCCAGTGGAGTGATTTATTTGGATTTCCAGAAGGCATTTACAAGGTGCTCCATAGGAGACTACTAAATAAGTTAAGAGCCCATGGTGTTAGGGGCAAGACACTGACATGGATAGAGGATTGGCTGACTGGCAGAAAGCAGAGAGTAGAGATAAATGGGTCTTTTTCAGGATGGCAGCCAGTGACTAGTGGAGTTCTGCAGGGGTCTGTGTTGGAACCACAACTATTCACATTATACATTAATGGTATGGACAAAGGAGCTCTGGGCATTATTGCCAAGTTTGCAGAGGACACAAAGATACGTGGAGGAACAGATAGTGTTGAGGAAGTGGGGAGGCTGCAGAAGGACTTGAACATGATAGGTGTGTGGGCAAAGAAGTGGTGATGGAATACAACGTGACAAAGTGTGAGGTTATGCACTCTAATAGGAAAAATACAGGTATAGACTATTTTCTAAATGGGGAAAGGCTTTGGAAATCTGAATTGTAAATGGTCTTGGGAGTCCTTGTTCAGGATTCTCTTGAGGTTAACACGCAGGTTCAGTTGACAGTTAGAAAGACGAATGCAATGTTAGCATTTATCTCAAGAAGGCTGGAATACAAGAGCTGAGATGTACTGCTGAGGCTGTATAAGGCTCTGTTCAGACTACATTTGGAATATTGTGACCAGTTTTGGGTCCCATATCTAAGTAAGGATGTGCTGGAATGGGAGGGGGTCCAGAGGAGGTTTATGAAATGATCCCTGGCTGAGGGGCTTGTTATATGACCAGTTGAATACTCTGGGTCTGCACTGGATGGACTTTAGATGGATGAGGGTGGATATGAGTGGAACTTACAAGATATCGAACGGCCTGGGTAGAGTGCATGTAGAGAAGATGTTTCCGTAAGTAGGGGAGACTAGGACCCATGGGGCACGGCCTCGGGATGAAGGAACGACCCTTGAGAACTGAGATGAGAAGAAATTTCTTCAGCCAGTGTGTGGTGAACTTGTGGAACTCATTGTGGAGGCCAAGTCATTGAGTATATTTAAGACAGATAGATATGTCCTTGATCTACGATCAAGAGTTATGAGAAGAAGGCAGGAGAATGGGGATTGAGAAACATATCAGACATGATCAAATGATGGAGCAGACTCGATGGACTGAATGACCTAATTCTGCACCTTTATCTTGTGGTTTTATTTATCTGGGCCTTTGAACTAGTAGTCCAGTGAAATTGCCACTCTACTTCTCAATATCCATTTGCCTATTTTTTTTGATGGTTGAAATCCATTGTCAAATTACTGTGGCTTATGGCATACTATATACCACGGTCAATTTTGACGTGTGCACAAACAGTGTTTGTATTTTAAAGTTATAGTCCAAATAGAAAACCCAAGGAATTAATTTCTGACTAAACGTTGAGATTACTTCACCATTC